GAATTTTTGTTATCACCTACCGATTAAACAACCGCACATAGATTAATATTGTGTCAAATTGTCTGTGAATATCGTAATATACACCTTATTGAAGCATCGCGATACACATTTATTCATCCTTAAAGATATAAACCATTTTGGTTCCTCTTGTTGTTCCTTGATGACTTATTAAACAGGTTTACTTAATCGCCTACAATCGAATTTCTTCTCAACTACCGCGGGCTTTACTCCATCTTTACTTTGTTTGCACAAAGAACACAGTGAAGTAAATACAGAAGGTGAATAATATATTTTTGCAATAACAGATATTACAATAGGAAATATTTAATCTGATGCGATTAGTAAAGATCTCTGAAAATCAGGCTTCGAATGACCCGCATGCGTCTCTGAAAAATATTCGGTATACTGACTTCACAATGACTACATAAAAAACGAATAGTTAGCACTGATATAGAAATCTACCGTTCTGGATTCTTAGGATATTTTGATACTGTTCTGTTAATGGACGTAAGCATCTTCCTTTAAATTGTTATTCATATCGCCTTGTACTTAAGAACTTCTTAAAATAATGTCCTCGAGTCACGATGCTGGCAAAGCTCCTTCTACCTGTTGCTCGTTTGAAAAATTTTGGAACTGACTTATAATTGCAGAAGTTTCTGAATTAAGAAAGGCGAAACAAATTAGTATTTCCATGAAACTCGTGTCGAGTGCAACAATTTTATGCAGAAATAAGTATTCGTTGTTTGTCTTGTAGGTTCCCTCTTGACGGAAAACATCAAAGTAACGATTCATTAAGTTCCATCGATCCACCGTCGTGAATAAATAATACCTCAACTTATTACTTTATCCGATCTATACTCACGTCATCCTCCGAGTAAAATTATATGACTTGTGAACTCTTAATAATTGCTTTCATTTTATTCGTTCATATATAGACACTATTTATCCTGGAGATTTTCCTGAGAAAATGCTTCATGCATCAAATTTAACACATTTTGTGAATACAAACGCTTATAAATGAGGAATATGCAAAATGAACCATGTTAAATGCAGCAGCGTTGAAATGAGTAGAGGGATTCGAACCCCGATTCTGTTGGCTTCCGCGTCCATGAACTATTTTGATAAATCAATATATTGCATTCATCGTTGTGGTGTATGTTTCCACAAATTGTAGTCCGGTGTTCATCTATCTCTTTGGAAAGTATAAACACTGGATAATTGCATTTTGATAAAGAACCGGGCCAAACAGCCTTAGAAATTCTTTACACTTACCTCCTTCTTTGGAGATGATTGGGATTTCTTCTGGCATCATTACGATCAATTCTATAGCACACAAGCTTAAAGCGAAGTTTCTGATTTCGATGTAACGCATGACAAAATGTCACCTACTGTATTCTCGAACGCTTCAAGAGAAGGAAACGCTTCTAGAAACAACATGCTCCAAAATAAACTGCCTGTGACTATAGCAACGTTTAAACTTGAATCAAAAGTAATAATAGCGAGCTCACTGTTATCAAAATGCTTGTCATCTCAGTATTTATTAGGTTCTATATCAATAAATGGTGAACCAATAATAACCAGTAAGATCCTTTTTGGAATTATCAATACTATTGTACGAAAGGTTTGGGAAATGCAAGCGGAAAGATAGGAAAAAAATTTCCCTAGTGCATAGGAGGGTGAGAATACATAATTTAAATCAAAGTCGGTTTAATGTTATTTTATATTCATTGAATATAATTTGAACATCTAATTTACATTTTATTTCCAATGCTAAATAAACACATGATATCACATTACCGAAAATCGACTTCTTTGGCTTTTTATTATTGGACATTAAGTTTATGTGAATAGAGAAATTCGGGACATTTATTCCTTGAGATGTTATTCATATGGCTTTTTGAGTTTTTTTTTGGTTACTTTGACATTTACTGTTATGTACCCATAACTCTATATGTCAGCTGATTTGCTATCGCTTACTGTAGACATATTGTTATCCTGATGTTACAGCACATTTTAATATTAAGAACAATATTTCCCTAATCAGTGATTGCAAGTATTTGTACATAAAATTGATTTTCTCTTTGAAATAATTTACGGTAATAATCAGTGTATTGATAGTGCATGCTTCGACCTACCTGTAATTATGGTACATTCTTTGTATCTGTAAAAATAATCTATATCAACAGATTGATGTAAGAAGCAGGCTTGTACAACTTTCATGTACATGTAATTTCAGTAATAAATTCTGACCATCGTAATACAATAACATACATTGTAGTAAGTAGAAATATCGCTAACGGAAGCATGATAAAATATGAGATTGTCTGGTATTTCTAACTGTTTCTAGCAATATTTTGTAGTCGTATAATTTGATTTATGAATACGTTGCAGGTTTGTTTTCTTAAATTTATCATCTATTCCATCCACCTATAAGATGCAACCTACTCCAGTAAACATGGAAATTAATATTTATTCTGTTGTCATTATATCATGTTAGAATTTGTAAAATACAAATATCTTGACAGAGATGTTGTCTTAACTTTAATGTTACATCGAATAGCAAAAGAAACCTAACACATTATTGAACAATAAATAAAGACAACTCTTCTGAGAAAGTTTTCTTATCGACGATATTGTTTACTGAAGTTGTACAATCCAATTTACAGTGATTTAAGAGATACACGGGCGTATTAGAAAAATAGACCGTAACGGAATATTAGTAGGTTCAGAATTCTAAAGTATCACAAGAAGATTACTATCTAAGAGTTAATAAAAAGTACTAAGATGAACGCAGAAGTAGAAGAGATAATTATACGCTTGAAGAATATGAATAAAGCGGGGAAGGAGTAAAAATTATATCAGGGTAATAATGATATTAAGTACAGAGCATATGCAGTTCATGATTGTGTTGCTTGTGGAATAAGTGTGTAGCAGTTATTCGGAAATTACTGAAACCAAGAAATCTTCAGTAAGTATTGAAATAGCTTATAGTATCAGTACCTACACTCTGAGTGTCTCATCTATCTTAATAGATTGACAAATTGTCTTCGTGAATAATATTTTGTATTTTTGGTTATTCACCAATCAGAGACAAATGCGTAATGTGAGCATATAAATAATTGTAAATTTGTATGTTTCTGGGCTATTAGAATATGTATTACACATGCATAACCATAGTTTTAATAAGTTGTTTAGAAGATAAAATAAAGTAAATTGTATAAAGTAAAAACAAGACATTTCACTTATCCTTTCAAGTAATATACTGTTTATTACACGGTAGACTTATTTATTATAACATTAAAATTAAAACACGAAGTTCAGCGAAGGGATCTCTTTTCAACGAATTTATTATCAAGCTGTACAATCGTATATATATGCAAATTTTTTTTGTAAAAGTACTAATTTTGTGAGGAAATGTGAACATAGTTAACCATGACGTAATAAAAAGGTTATAATATTAGATTACGTATTACGAAAAATAACAATAGACTTAGTGAATATAATAAGATGATTAAAATGTTTTTGTTATAATAATTAAAGGTCATAGAGGTGTAAAAAATAAATAAGGTAATATGATGAGTATTTACGAATAAAAACAATGAGAATATAAGACATAAGTAAAGGGGGAATGCAATAATAATAATAATAATAATAATAATAGAATAATCAAAATAATTAAGGCCAAGGTAATGATAGCGATAAGACGTACTTCTTTTGTACGCATAGTTCTGGTTTAAGTTCCTGAATGGTAAGAGCTTCGGCTATTTTTAAGAGTTGGATACGAAGAAATCTAGGTAGATTTGGACGAATCATATAAACAACCTTAAAATTAATTTGTGGATCTGTAGAATGGTTACAGTCGATAAGGTGTTCAAGTATAGAACTCCTAACTGCTTTCCTTTCACCCTTATAGAACCAAGCTGGAATATGTTCCCGTATCCCAGTTGAAAGCGAGCGCTGGCTACGGCCAATGTACCTTGCTGCACAAGAGCAGGTGAACTGATAGATGCATATAGAGGCGACCAGACGCGGAAGCTTATCTTTTATGGATACAGAAAATAAGTTCCTACTAGTGAAGGTTATTCGCAGTTTAGCTGCATTAAATGTTCTTCTAATCGATGTTGTTAGACGATTTTTGATCACGTCTGATGTTCGATCACCTTTAAATTCCAGACGTATATAAACGTTTTTCTTTGGAACGGAACAACTAGATTTCTTGTCGTAACTACTTCTATTCAGATTCTTTTCTATGAACCGTTCTGGGTAACCATTTTCCGTCAAGGTTTTCTTGAGGAATGCGAGTTCTTCGTTAATGCATTCTGTACTGCATATCTGGTGTATTCGATAACATAAAGAATGGATAAGGTTTCTCTTTTTACTTAACGGGACCCAGCTATAGAAGTTGGTTAGCTGGCCATTCCATGTTTGTTTTCTAAAGACGGATCTTTTTCAAGAACCATTACTCCTTCTCATCAGACGTACATCGAGACAAGCAATTGATTGGTCTCGTTCACTAAATCTAATTTTATTATTCGTATTACGTAATCTAATATTATAACCTTTTTATTATGTCATGGTTAACTGTGTTCACATTTCCTCACGGAATTAGTACTTTTACAAAAAACAAAAATTTTTTCATATATATACGATTGTACAGCTTGATAATAAATTCGTTGAAAAGAGATCCCTTCGCTGAACTTTGTGTTTTATTTATTATAAACTATGATTTCTGTAATAGTGATAAGACTAAGAATGAATTAAATTAGTTTCCTTTAGAATCAATTCACAAAGCCGTGAGAACGAGTAACCAGTTAGTTATATACACCATAGAACATGAAACACATGTACATCGGCTCAAGTTGATGCACCACATCATTATAGAGAGATGAAAATGTTATGACAAGCACAACAGTAGTACAAATACTAACATTATCAGAAGTAGTAAAAATATTAGGCGTACAATATATGATTTAAGGCGAAACTATAGGTTACTGAAATTTAAAAATGTAGTCAATTGAGAGACTCAAAATCTGAGAGAAGACAGAAAATGGATGCATCTGTACAAATGACAGTGATTCTGAGCCATGTTATATCACATCTGTAACGATTGGACACGAAAATCTAATCGATATCGACCAGATATTTTGCACCCACAAACATGATTCAGTCTCACTGTTGACGACTTGATGATTGATACCAAGTTTTAGACTGACTAATCTTATCTTTGTCACAGCCTAATTCTATATCAGTCAACATCACGCGTCGAGATAGACAGTGGTTGGTTATTTGTAGCAGACGCCTCGACTACTATAGTCGATGGAGATGTACTACATCACCAACCGATTCGCCCTCGCTACCACGTACCCTGCTCCTAACTTCTAACAACAATCTTCAGCAAATATATTAATACACAGAATAAACTTGCTTCTCCAGGATTCATCGGGGTCAGTGGCGAAAACATAGTATATCGGTGCAATAATTTCATTCATTCCTTGAACATAACCCTGAGACACATGAGTTTTATAATATACATATAGAATTCTTTCAATCACTTCCCAATGTGGTTCCTGATGCGGTGAGGTCGAATTCCAATCGCTTTTACGGTTCATCTTACTTCTTTGTAATTGTGTTACTAAACCAGAAGATAATCTATGGCTTGGTTGGAAAGGAGCGTAAGTAGACAGATGAATCATATTTGTAACACCAGCAAGATTTTTATTCAATGAACGGGACTGGAAAGAAAACAAGTAAAATTGAACACTTAAAACATATCATGGTAACAATAACATATTTTTCAATCAAAAGCAATCCGTAGAAACAATTATAAAATACATCTTTCACTAGAAGTCTACATTAACCAACTATCAAAAACTGAGGGATGTAAGACCTTCCAATTGTTCAATGAATTCTCAGATGACATACATTCATATCTGCAGCTAAGAAGTTGAGTTAGATCACTAGCTAGTTGAATTTTAATGCATCGATTACTGAAGTCGGGTTTAAACGCACGAACGTACATCATTAGGAACTCTAAACAGCCCTACTTTAGTAGTCTTAACAATCATGACTCTGTATTAGAGTAGAATGTGACAATGACAGTTACTTACTGGCTTCTGATAGTGGTTGTTTAGCTGATGTTAACTGTATCTTTGAATAAAACACAACAACAAAAATGGCGTTTAGTAACTAACACAAAACGTTCAATCAATCAGGCTGAGAAAAAAATCAGCCTACTTGCACGAGAGTCTAACACTAATCGGTTCATGATCTCAATGAAATTTAACAATCTCTACAACCCTATATTGACAATGCGATATATACTTGCTGATGAATCTTCTCAATGTTAGTTTCACTTCAATAGCTCCCGTTTAATTGTTCAACAACTATCCAATCTGTGTAACTACATCTTATGAAGAAAATGTCGCTTTCCGACATTCAAAAGCTACATAGATGAAACATTTGTAAAGCTTGTCTTGGCGTCTTTGTATTTAAATAGTCAGTCAGTCAGCTACAATATTAAAAAAATAAAATATTATAACCACTACAAAACCTCTTTTACGATGTATGCCGTTGAGTAAATTTCTGGTTCTTAAAATGTGCGTTGTAGCAACTATACTTTGTCTTATACCGAATCAATTCCAGGAAAACCATTGTAATACATCACGTTTTAGCATCCCTACACAAAATAATACTCAGTCGCTGCGATGTTCAACGAGAATCAGCGAAGTACAATGCAAAGTTGGTAACACAGAGCATGTAGTTTGTAAGTAAAACATTTGCGCAAAACATATCAAGGGGAAGTTTTAGGACTATTTACCTGAAGTGCAGAGGTTTCCCCTCTTCTCCGTAACACCCCAACAGGTACTTCCTTTCCAAATAATGATAGACAAGAATACTCTGTGGGACGACGAAAGAAATCAAAATCTGGACACAGTCTCTGACAGTCCTTATTAATTTGGAGTAAAATTTCATTATCGCGAAAAAACGCGATCCAATTTCCATCTGATTCTAAATTTAATGGCTAGAGAAGTAACAACAATACTAAATGAATATACTTACATGATCAGCAGGCATAGCATCTGCCACACAAGACTCAAATACAAATTCCTTTACATAACCTTCATATTGCCTTCTGTTAAAAGTGATCCGTTCTTGTCGTTTGTCGACATGATAAGGAAGATAATTTAAAAGGAACTGAAAAATGTAGGGGAATACCTTACCTTCCAAACTCTAGAACGGATCCCATTAGAATCAGGACAACCGTCAATAGACAGTCTTTTGAGTTCTTCAATATTTACGTTTTCTCCATTTATAATATTTAGCATTTGTTCATGTCTATGGAACAATAAATCAGCATCGAGCGTACTACCTAGAGCATTTCACATCCATTACAGAGAGCTATTCTAGTAAAATCACTTAATAGAGGTTTTAGTGGACATTTCCTTGAAATATGCGAATTTTAAATCTCTCTAAAAACCATAAACATTTAAGAAAAGGTTTAGTGCTATTGAGAGACTGGTACAAATGTGATTTAGCTTGAATGGCCATTGCACATCAAAACAGAGAGATGAAATTACCATAATAGAAAGCAAGATAACTGAAATGCTTAGTAGTTATGAGAATATTGTTCTGGAAGGGATGAAAAGGTACGTATAAGTGTATGGACATGATCACCAAACAGACTCCAACCAAATATGCTGCGCCTAACCACATAGCCCAAACCAAGTCACTGACTAAATGACTACCTCATCAACCAACTTGCCGTCACTAAATTGTAACTTCCCTTTCATCTCATCATCGCTTGATCGATGTTCCTAAAAGGCATCAGATGTATATCGTAGAAATGTTTAGTCGGATATTAGTGACCTACTAATGTCCTTTATTCCTAATGGTCACGTTTAACAGCCACGAGATAAAACAGAATTAGTAAGCAGTATACTCGTCATTTGTTTGATGTACGAAAATTCCATCTATCTCATAATTGTTGTAAGTTGTCAAGAATCAGCCGAAATATCTGAATTGATGTAAATGTATCCTTGAATAATAACTCTCCAGGACTGATGAGATTTCGAAAATCCACTTATTTTCCTTAACCTTTTGATTTCACTTACTATTAGAAGTGACTGATGTTTGTACAGCTGGTATCGATTTCACTTTCGTGACCAACTTACTGCTTTTACAGTTTTTTGAAATACTTTTTAGTAATTTTCATTCCTGTTCTGAGCAATAAACAGTCTTACAGCTGTGGCGTTTCTGCCTTCTGTAGGTTGCAGATAGACACGTGCTGTCACCCAAGCACGGCTTTCATCATTTTAAATGGTTTGAATAATTCTTTCTGGTTAGCGTTTTTTTAGCGAGTTAGTTTTCTACGGGATGGGGTCGCTAACCCCATGCCCAACCCTCCTCCTTTATCCGGGCCTGGGACCGGCAGTAGCCCCCGGAATGGGGCTCCAGGCGGAGTCACCCAAGCACGACCAAACCGAAACTTTCACTCCATAACGAGGCGCGAAGTCTTTTATCTAGCCTCTTCAGCAATAGTGCAAGCTTATTTGGTCTATTTTATCGAATCGTTGGGTCAATTTGTTTGGTCTATGTCTCGATTGTCATTTCATATACCTGAAGTTGATGCATGGTATAAATAAACAGTTACTTAAAAATAATTGTAGCAGCCAGTCTCCATTTATCTGTTTACTGACGCTGTAATGTCCATCAGAGTGTTCTTTACGTTTGGTTCAAACTACCTATTTGGGTATTAAAATCCGCTGCAATGATCAAAACGTCTAATAGTTTGACATTTTGAACAACCAAGATTCTCCATAAACCTCAATTATTGGTTCATCTGGATTTCAGCCGGTGGGAGGGTAGTCGGAGAACAAAAAGCAACGGCGTGTATTTCTATCTCTCTGTGTCTTTACTGCCCTGTTTATTTGGACAGTGAATCGGCAACCGTGTATCAAAGCCGCGTTTATAAATATCTGTTCCACTACCAAATCTAATATTTTATTAACACCAGCAAGGTCGAGAAAAGAATCAAAGTTTAACATACACAGAAGGCAGATCATGGTTATTCTCTATATTAAAAGAGGTCAACTGAAAGAACAAAAGTTGATACTGGTTACATATTTTGATGACACAACGTACATTAAAATCTTAAAATCTTAGAGTCATAGTTAATGAACATATTATCCTATTCGACATCATGTTTGAAAATTGAAAGCTCTAACATATTGTTTAGGGCACAGTTCCAGAAGATTAGGAACAAAATTTTATGAACTCAAATGGTTAGCATTAGTGATGATTAGTGATAAATACAGAGAAGGGTGAATAGTTTGGAACGGTTGATTTGATAGTGAATGAGAGCTATTCGAGTGCCGTTAGAGTGTGATTAATGAATATAAACGACTATTTGAGACAGATTGCAGTACGACCTGATTCCTAGAGGTTACAGGTTTATTAGCTGCATACTTTCGAAGAAACTTTCTAAGCCCTTTCTTGCGTTGCGAAAAGACGGTAGATGTTGGTTATCGTAGGGAAAAATATGGCTGCAACCATACAACCGCTAGTTCGACATCTGCCTGGGAACTAAAATTGTTGGCTTTGATCATACTGTGGTGTGTGCTACTTATGTAGACATAAGTAGTATATGACGCGAGTTTTAAACGTAATGTCTAGCAGTAGAAGATGGAGAAAGATCAAGAAAGAAAGAGCGGGAACACAGTGGAATTTGTATGAAAACTTATTAACAATGAAATGTCAGACAATCGATTGATGTATGCAACAGGAAAAGTCCAATTTGATACGATGGATTGTTATTTTGCAAATTAACGATTCATTATATGGTTGTTAGATTTTATTAACAAGTGCTGTAATTTGTTGTCAAATACATTCGATTGTCCTCATCTGTGTTCTTGTTCACTACAATATCGTTTTCCGCTCGACCTGATCCACATGGTACGACTGAACAAGTGTAACAAGTGTTCCAGCCAATTTAGATTGACCGGGTCAATAAAACTAACAAATCCGAGCACTATTCCACGATAGCGACTGTATTCAATTTTTTGATTGTATACCGTTGGATTTTCAATGTTATCCAGTCAGAAGTAGTTTTATTTTGTGCAATTTTATCTATCCTACCCTAATTTTTACTTTCTAATAAATATCAACGATTCGATTCATAGTGGACAAAAGCTCAGTAATCAACTTTAGCATTATTTTATGCTTGAAGTAATAGTTCATTCATACTGACACTTCATTGATCACTTAATGAAGGAGTAAATGTGTAAAATGACTGTCTATTGTTGTCATTATTTACTACTATTTCTGAGTTAGTTTGAACTACGAAGAAGTAACGAAACAGTACATTTCGATTCTTTTTATAATTGCCTAAGATGTCAATTTGTTATAAAAAAATACAAATTTCCACAAACTACTTATTTTAATTTTAAGTGACAATGTCTAGTTAATTAAGTTGATCATAATGAACAGAAACGGTTGTTTAGCTACTGAGAAACACATTTTAATAGGTTATTCAATTTATAATTAAAAGAAAGCCGAATTTCTTTGATTTTATTATGTATATATATATATATATATATATATATATATATATATATATATAGAGAGAGAGAGAGAGAGAGAGAGAGAAAGAAAGAAAGAGAGAACTTATCTATTTTAGAAATAATGTAAATAATCTACAGTAATATAAGCGTACATGGACGGCAGAAACAAATGTGTAATTACAATACTTTTTATATTTCAAATATGGTGTAAAGTTGTGAAACAGTAAATATCCATATATGTAAATATACATATGGATAATTAATAAGATTATGACAATTAATATTAAATGTGGTAGGTAAAAATATTATAACTAACACTATAAAATTACACCAAATTACATTGGGATATATATATATATATATGGAGTAAAAATACAAAATGAGGAAATGTTTAATTCAGATTTATATGCCGCTGATTTTGATTTCTGTTTGCATTCATAAACTTTACTAATAAACTCATATGTGTGTAATTTAAAAGGCGTAACAACCAGTTTAAGTGTTAAATCATTTCATCCTGAAATATTTATTGATCATTTAATTTCCCAAGAAATATGATGAAAGAATTTCAGGGAAAGAAATACAAACACAAGTATTAGAAGGTGTACGTTTAAAGTGTAGAAATTCAAAGAAAATTTGAATGATTTATCTTATTGAGATAATGGATTCAAAACGATAAATACATGAATCCAAAAGAACAAAAAACGATTGATATTTTAAAGATTAGTTGAAAAAAAGGCAAAGAAATGGCACTGCATGCAGAGAAGTGAATTTAAATCAGACTAAACTTATGTACAAATATGTTATGTACAGAATTTTTGATGCTTAATTCTATTTCTGAAAGAAATACTCAGTTAAATTCACATGAATGAAATGTTGAAATGTAAGAAATTTCTGTGACTATGCTCTTAAAACACCAATGAACTTGTATGCAAATGGTTAACATTAATATTGCTCACAACAACATGAATAATACATATGAGCATACATTTTCGGAATAAATCCTTAGAATAATTATAAAGTTGAAATAAGAATATTTATTTGTTAATTATATTGTGGAAATAAAAAAAAATGATACGGTTTTAGTGCTGATTTGTTTCGTCCAGTATATCTATATATCTATATATATAGGCTTATTTACTTTCAAAAAGAATAAACAAGTGTTTTTCTTTAACTTTCTTTGTTTTACACACATATCGTTCTTCAGCAAGGTGATGTTTCCATTTATTATGATGAGTTTATGCAACGTGGATAATATTTTATTTCCCTGCAATCGGAAACGATTAAAAATACTGATGCCTAGTATTGGTGCATTTAAGTCACAATGTAAATTTTAGTTATAGATAAATTGATATATGGATGAATTAACGAATGTATAAAAAAAATGGATAAATAAATCAATATACAAATAGTAGCAATATCTGTTACTATTTTGAAAATATACATGCGAATGAGAATAAATAACAATGAGAATGATTATAAGTGTGGATATGTTTCTCATTGTATTATCTTATAATTACTGGTCAAGAAAAGTATTTGGGAAAACTATAAAATCTAATTTATGAGCGTTTATTTCAGTTTATATATATATATATATATATATATATATATATATATATATATATATATATATATCATAATGTATTAGTATATGTAGTAAAGATGTTGGGTTGTGCACAATATAAAAAAGTGCAATGTAATATCTATGAAAATAAAATACATTAAGACTCTGTTATCAATAATTAGTGTACAAGCACAGATCAATATACATATTACACTCATTTACTCTTATATTATAAACATAAATATTAGTACTACAACATATCACTAGGAGTTACGTTTTTCTAAATAGTGTTAAAAAAAAACAATTTAATTGATGAGAATAAACTTATAAATCATAAAATAAGGAGAAAACAATTTTAACGGTTTATTTAGTTAGTAAATTTATTTTGTTTTGTTTTTAAGGTTGTAAATGAAAATGGCTGAATGATTGTAAGAAAGGAAGAAAGAAAAGAAGAGATACAGGTAGGGAGAAAATAATGAAGTACAACTATTTATATGCCTAAAACTATTCAATGAAGTAATATTATTATTATTATTAATAAAACAATAAAATATCAATATGTGTCAATATTGTCATGATTAATGTCACCGTTAATAACTTTCTATCGAACAATTTAACGAAGAAATAAATAAATAATAATAACAACAACACTGACATCTGTAATACATATAAAGTATTGTGTACATGTATATGTATGTATTAATTTTAATAAGTCACTTATATGAATAATGAATGTTGGTTTCTCTCATTTGTTTTTATAATTAGATAAATTTTGCATTGATGATTATATATTTCTATAGATTTGTTTTACTTTATATTGTATAAAGGTATATACTTTGTGTAATGTTGTTACTGTAAACAATTTTCCTATTTCATTTCTGATTTCTTCGTTTAGTTATTTGTTTTTTCTCTTCTAATAATAATAATTAAAAACCTTCAATGATACAATAATTTTCTAAACCAGCTAAAAGAATATAAACAAACCATAAGAAAAATAAAAATAAAGCTGAAATATATTTTGCTACTTTTGGACCACCCAATTCACCACCAATAGATTTTTTACGTCTAAACATTATTAAAATAATTGCTACTACAGCAAATATACAAAATGTAGTAACAGAAAAACCTAATGATCCTGGTTGAACCAAAAATTGTGTTCCTTTGACTGCATGATATATAGCAGCTATACTCCAGCCTAGACCAATGCCTAAGAATACATTTACAGCATTGCTACCAGTTACATTGCCTATAGATGAATCAGCGTATTGGTCACCGACAGCAGCGACTTTACTTGCAAATGTATCTAAAAACATTTTAATGTATAGAAAATGAAATAGATTAGATCACTAAACTGTTAAATAAATTTTAACAAAAATATAAGCACTATGTAACAACAATTGTAACATATTACAGTAATATGGGCAACCAGTAGGTAAATAGTTTTTCTTTTAGTCAGAAATTTACTTTGGATGGTTGATGAACATTAAGTAACGTTATGCATTTATATAGTTGGCTAACTGACTATGTGGTGAAATTGAATTCGTTATAGATAGCCTTGTTATATCAATCACATTGTATGGGTTGGTCTGTGGGAAATGTATAGATAAGGAAATTATTTCAGTTTAAGAACCTACCATATATTCGTTTATTCATTTTATCACCTTTGTACTGAATAGATAGAAACATTTACTTTAAACACTGATTAGTCCTATTCAACAGATCTTCGACTTTTGCAAGTGGCAGCATCTTGAATCAAACCAGCATGTTTAAGCATTTAACACATAGATAAATTAAACTGTGATGTTTGCTTTAACAAAAAACGTTTTTGACATTCTTGACAATTTTCAAGTAGAGACCATAATAGGTCGAAGTACTGCCTATTTCAGACGTTCGTCAGACTTCGTAATAGTATAAAAATATATTTGAAAAGTAATAATGTCGAAGCGGAAGAAAAGTAACTGTATTTCAAATCACAACCGTCAGTGAACAGAAGTAGATATCAATAAGATGGAAACGTGAAGAAACGTTTGCAAGAGTTATGCAATTATTTTCACGGCTTTCATACACTTTTTTTCAAAAACTCCACTTCCAAAGTTTTCCCTGAACCAAGGTCTTGGAGTTATAATTGAAAGAATAGATTTCTAAGTAAACTTCGAATAGTTATTTAAATTTGATTATAATGCTTTAAGGAACAGCCCCAGCTTGTTGTGATCACTGTAATATTTTAGTGAAAAGAGACTTTTTACATGCCGGTGATAATAAAATATCCAAAATAGTCAAATGATGTCCCATTACTGTTGCATAAGCTATTGTTTATAGCTGTTACATCGTTATTAAGGAATTTATTTGTTTGAATCTTTATAAAAAACGAGTGTTTAAAATTAACTTTTCTGAAAGTAATTTGACTGAAGGATTTTAGCAGGAGTAAACTGATTAGTGAGGTAGTTATCATAATTGAAATATGATAGTTTTTTAAATGACTTTATATTTCCCTAATCTCTTTAGAATGGTTAGTAGGCTTTTTTTACCCTATAATATATCGACATATCTGTATAAATGCTGATTGGAATATGCCTCTACTGTTGTTATTCAACAAAATTAGAGATTCTTCCCACTGTATGGAATTGTTATAGTGAAACAATGCTTAATAAAGCACTCAACAGGACAATAAGTCTGAATACCAATTATTTTACAGATCTTCACAAACTGTTTATTTTCTATAGAATTTAAAATAATTGTTTGATATTTAATCAAAAAGGTAAAAATCATTTAGAAACTGTAAACGTTCGATCTAGGATGGAAAATAAACATTATAAGATATTATACAGCGTTATGTACTTAATTATTCTAACTGTATTATTATTACCTGGTAAACTGGTGCCAAGTGCTACAAACGTTATTGCAGTAACAGCATCAGTCAATCCAATTGAACAACCGAATGACGATGCTACATCTCCTATAACTGCGGTCAAAACACCAATAACCAGTATACATACAGTGAAACAAAACCAACCTCCGCCATAGTCTAATAATAAGATTAGCAAAGAAATAAATTATTTTTACTGTATAACTAAACAACAATTAATATATATATATATATATATATATATATATATATATATATATATATTCATTTACATCAGAGCCATATGGCCTAATACAAATAAAATAATTCTCGCAGCAACGTTTTGGAGCTTTGGTGATTATTTTTAGTAAAATCAATAATTGTCAACAAACAACTCTTGTTCATAAGCTAAACGAGACAAAAACTAGCATGAATTGTCTGGCATTTCTTGAATAAACATTACAATATGCTGATAGAATGTAGTATTTAGTAAATGTTTCATAGCATAAATGCTTTAGGGATCTTTGGAGATGATTGTCTATAAATGACAACAAATATATCTTTGTTGTTATACAATAATTCCAGATAGGTCATAAGATTTAAACTAGCGCTTCAGATAAGAAATTAGGCTGAATAATTTGAACAATCAAACAAAAGACACAAAACCGTTTAAAGATGATGAGAAAATAAGAGATTAGCATTTAAACCACTCTCAACGTTAATATCTAAAAGTTTTAATCGAAGAAAATCAGTCTTTATTGATAATTATATTGGGATTAGCCAATTACGTTGAATGCCTAAAACACTTGAGATAGTTTAAAAAAGCCTTAAAGTTCCTAAAATTATGTAATGGAGATTTATAAAATCCCATAATTTACCCATAAGTGCTTGATATTCATGAATTTTATTGAATACATAATCTATCGTTTTTTACGTGTCATTGAACTGAATTTGCTAACCCATCAACCTCATCAGTTGAATAAAGTATGACTATCTCCATTTATTAAAAAAAGATTCATGAAAAGAATACAATAACGTTATGAAGTACATAAAATTGTTAGTTAAATCTTTATAAAATGATTTAATTAAGTCATAAATTTATGTTCAACCAATTAGAAGGATTTCAACTCATTTTCCTTATGATTTACTTTCATTGTGTCAATTATTGTTCACATTATTTTGTTTTATTCTTTATTCTATAGTACTCGATAATGCTGGTATACATCGATGTATTGGTAATGTTAATTTTGTTAAAACAAAAACACATTTATATGTAAATCAATTAAATGACGCCAAAATGTCATTGGATCATAAAAAAAACAATTGAATAAATAAATAAATTAATTAATTTAACTAGAATGTTGGATAGCCCGCATAAAAATCTAACAAAGAAATACGTGCCAAATTGTGTATAGTTTCTTTATTCTTTTTTTTTAAATTCTATATCTTGAAAAATTAGTGATTAAATAATTGTATTTGCATTTTCATTTAAGTACAATAAGATATAAAAATAAAAGCTTCTTTATTTAATAAATTCATTTAGTATTGTTTATTCGAATATTTCCATTAATGTTTACGAGTGCAATTGATCAGTCTCTTATTGAAATATGTGCATATTGCCTCAATATAGCCTTAATTTATAAGCATTATAAACAAAGATGAATAATCCGATGATGTTTGAAGTGAACGATACTGGGTTTGAGTGAAAGAGTGAACATCAACTCTGTGATGCAGGTACATCTAACTGACGAGTCCTAAGTGGGACGAAACGCATATCACAGATTCCACTGCGAGCCATTATCTATCTTTGCATATATTAACTGTCAGTAATATTTACTTTAAATATTTCTATGTCAAAAATAGCCAACTATAATTTCAATATTTTATTGACAATGGAACATTCTTCATTTTAATGATAAGATATTTAAACTATTTTAAATTGATATCTGTATATCACATGTTACATGATCTGTTATTAATTACGGTAATTAAAATACATCAATTGTCATCAATACAAGAAACATTTTACTATAGATTCCGATCAAAATTTTCTTTATTTTGAAATATGTACCTAGTATTTATAAACTGTTTAGTTACCTTATAATGCTCTTCTATTTGTCTTATATAATCAATTATTCCTCTGATACTATCTTTATGACCTTAAGTATAGTGACCAATTGATCTTAGATAATATAAACTAGTACTCGTTAATATAGAAATGGATTTCATTGAAGATTAATCGATAGTGTTCTCAAATGAAATGTAATCATATATTAATGACAATGAATAATGTAACTGATCTTATCTGGCTATCAAATTTTTGTCAACTAATTGTGCTTAAAATCAATTATATTTGATGAAGAAATAATAATAATAATGATGAAGAAATAATAATGGAATATTTAATTGAAATTTAATTGTAATATGTGTTGTATTGTAATATGACAGAACGTTATTAAGCGAAATAACAAGAAATACTAATGATATTACTGAGGTCTATTTGTTTTCTTTCAAACGTCTCTTATTAAATTTCATTATTTAACATTTGAGAATAACACTTAAAGAGAATGACTCATGCAATGAAACCATTTGATAAAGAATAAAACTTATAGTAAACCTCGTCAACTGAATCAAGAAACGAACAATGGAACTTCAGAATTTATATTTTCAAATGATTTCCACTTGAATATTTATTGTTCTGAAACTTAGATACATTTATTTCCATAATTGATTAACCAATTTATACTAGAGCTCAGAAGAGATTATCTAGAAACATAAAATAAACGCTTATTACATTCAAGCTTTTTTTTAATGATTCTTTGAAAGATTTCGATAAGTGTAAATTATTTTCACCATAAACGTGTTGGATATTTGATGAATGGTGAGGGATAATCTTAAACTTATCTCTCATACTTATTTTGAATTCGATTCATTCAACTGTAAAGGGCTATGGTTGAAAGTTGATTATCGAAGCAACATTAAAATCGACTAGAATATATATATATATATATATATATATATATATATATATATATATATATATATATATATATATATATAGAATTCATTAAGATGGGAATGTTATAAAATGTATTTAAATCAAAATTCATTTTTATTTATGATAGTAAATATTTTACAATGATAAAAATTAATTAATTTGTTGTATACAGATTTCGAATATAAAAAGATAGTCCGATTAGTAAATTATGATTGCATAATTTTTATATTAATAATCTAAATGTTACACAATTGTATTTAAATAATTTACTGTATTTGTCTACATTTTGATACAGTAGCTATGTAATAAAATATATAACTTTATTTAAACCGATGAAATGTTAGACTAGTTTTGATTTATTTTTAGTATAAATTAATTAAGCAAAAAAAGAAAAGAAACGTAATTTTATCCACAAACTGGGTTTTATAGTTAGAAGAGACAAAAAGCTATTAATTTTAATGTACATAAACAGTCCTTTCAAAATGTATCATTGAACGCATCTTGATTACATGTTGAAATTAAATACTACAAATCGTCAGTTAAATATAGGTGTTGTATACGTTTAACTTTATTTTAGAAAATCTCTTTAATATGTAGTTAAATTATAAGGTTTGTGTTTCACAAATAACCGGGGTTGGTATTGAGTTTTATTATCCTGTGAATTGATTGAAAACATACATATTTTAAGACTGGTATGTAATCCGCTTCATAAGTTATGAAATAAGTGTTTGAATATAAAAACTACTTTGTTTATATGTAAAGGTATTTTAGACATAACAAAGTAAATATATTTCATAGCAGAGGGATTAAATCATTGGATTGATTTTATATATCTTCAAACATTCAAATATGTAGGAAAACAGTCAACTACTAGTTCATTTATGAGTATATTTCCGGTAGGGTTATTCAAAGGTTTAACTGAACAAAGAAAAATCTGAGTGAAATTTTTCACAAATGTTTCTGGTATACTATTTTATCTCCTAAACACGGTAAGTGTAAAATACCCAGATTGTGTTACATTCCAGGTAAAATGATCAATGTCCCAACAAACATTGAGTGAGTTACAAGTACTCCACAGAGTGAAAAGATTATTAAGCAAGACGGTATGAATCTGTTACCTGTTTGGTCTGATATTATCCTGATTTCAACTTGTTAATCTGTTAATTGAATGAATAAAAACCATGTTCATCTTGTAAACTGTTTTCATTACGTTTACGCTTTTGATATAAATAAATTTATTAAAGACTAAAGCTTTATTAATTTTTAAGAACCTGAATTAAAGATGTGTTGCAGTAGTAAAATTTCAGTTATAATGTTTTTCATAAGAAAAGTTGGATTTGGTTTCACCTTAGATTAAACTCAGAGGCAGATTATTAAGTGAAAATCCCAGTATTTCTTTTTTCGCTTCATAGCACACACTAGTAATTTTTCATGTATTTTGCAATATTAAATGTTCAATAGCAAATCATTCCATATACATGTAATAAGGAGAGACCAGTAATTAAAAGATGGATAATCTACGCATGGATATTTTTTGGTAATCAAAAATACCGTGCGCTAGCGCTATATAAAACATTCATTAAGAGACTAATTACGTGCTTTCATTAATAATAAATATACTCATTAGGGGTAGTTATAAATTATATTGTGATTCCGTTTTAACTTAGTGAATAATTTTACTGTAAAGTGCAATAACATGTACTAATATTTCATTATTCTGACTGTAATTACAAAATGTAATAAGTAGAATCTACCTGTTGGTGGAACAAATGCAAAGAGAACTTTCCAGAAAACAGTCAAAAAATGCATCACATAATCCATGCATGTAGGTAGTTTTTCTCCTTCATCGTCGTCAACATCGCCTCCTGTTTTTCGAAAATTTGATATTTAAAACAAAAACAAAAAGGAAATACAAAATATCATAGTTATACAGAAGAATAAAAATTTCAAGAAGTATAGACAATAATGTACAATGTTTAATTTCTTGCATTTACTGTAAAACTTCTATATGATTAATGTGCTTATACATAAAAAAGACATTCAGTAGCCTCAAGAAAACATTTGTAACTAACCGTGAATTAATCTTATATAATTAGTGACAGACTATTTTATCTATCTGAATTAAGGTTGAACAAATTATGAAAACTATGGTGTTTTATCTTTTGACAAACCAAATGTTTCGAATTCAACTTCAAAATAACAGAGATATATTAATAGAGACAAAAAATAGAATAAGAAAAAAACGACGAAGCAAAGATTTGTTTACAATTCAATTCAAATATTCATTCTCTGTATTCTACTGTTTTTCTGGAAAAATATTATCGTTACAAATATAGTTCAAGCAATAAAACGGATCAAGTTAATAACGAAAGAGAGGATTTAATCTTCAAATTAAACTGACTAGATAGATTTAAAAAAATGAAAGTCAAATTAGTAGGTCATTGGAACATTGAAAAAATTATAAGACACAGCGTTTTACAAACGCGAGCTGTAGTTATTTTTGTTTTTATCCTTATCAAAATTAGAGGTAAATAAATATGTTACGTTTTGCCTATAATTTATGAGTTACAATTGTTGTGCGCAGTTTGAAAATATTAGCTGGAATCTAACTGTTTAGAAATAAACGTCTTTTACTAGTAAATCAAGATATGTCGGTGTTAAGTCTACATACGTTGCTATCATCGCAAACACTTCATATGGGTAACGTCATTATATCATGCGGTAGAGCTTCGACATGAAACAATTAAAATTTCAAAAATCTGATCCACGGAAGTTTATGAACGCAGTAGATCGGTTGTTCATAACTGACCAGAATAGGGTATAAGCTTACAACTACTATTCTCAGTTGTTCTATACAGGAGATGTGGTACGACAGTTTAACTGAATTCATTTTACTTCTGTAATTGAACTCTCAATATTATTCCCGATATAGCTGCTGAACAATTCAACAATGTAGTTAAATGCGGATAAATACAATTTCATCGTGTTTTGTTATGTATACCCCACAAATGCGTTTTTTATGTCAGTAAGAAGTGATGTGCTTTCAAAGTTACCTAGAAATTGTCTTGTGAGACTGATTGAAGCTTAAGTGTAACTTGTTTGAATAACTCTTGATTGGTGAATCTTTTGATTCATTTTGATCTCATCTGGCCGATGGTTGTTCTGAGAGAAAAAAATTACAAGAAAAACTATATGTGATGATTGATGTCTACGTGGCATATTTTCACATTAGCTGAGATTACTGACGTTCTTCTTATTGTATTCAAATCGAGTGAAAATATCGTCAGAATATTTGCGGCTTAAGTTGTTTGCAAGCATAACTTAATTTCAAAGTTACCTATTACTGTACTAAGAGCTGGTTATTAGAAAAATATTGATGTATATTACGGTACGACTAAGGATAAGTGAAGTGAAAGAAATCGAGTTGCGTAAAAGAAGATGTTAACTACAATATTTTCACTTATGAAATACAACGAAATGTAACATTTTAGTATTGTTCATTCCAACTAGCTTTTAATTTATAGTCAGTGACAATGAACACTGAACAAATTTATTATCGTAAAAGATCACAGATAAAACAGCTTGATAGTGGGTGTAATCTGACACTATTCATAATCTGGGTTAGGAATCTAAACTCATAATTTTCGAGCTCTTATACTTTATGACTAGGCAGAACCATTATTTAGCGTGGTTTTGTGGCATCCATTCATTACGCCTCCTTTATTGGTCGAACTATAAAACTTTTAGTCATTCATTTCAAGACAAACGATTCATGAAATTCAATAGTTACTTATCAGTTGCCGATTCAGTAGTTCTTATCATGTTGTTATCAAAGGTATTTCCAAAATAGATATATTTAAAATGAAAATATTTAGAAAGTAAACAGAATATAAAACAACGTACCAGCACTGACAGTAATCGCTTCAATGAACTGTTCTTTCCAAGATGATGTACCAACCACTAAGGCCAGTGTCCCTTGTTTAACTAATCTGTCAACAGTTTTCTAAAAAAGATAGAAAAATCGATTCATAAATATAGCTTGTATGAAGACAGTAATACTCTTCTAATTAATGTTACTAAAATGTATTGGGATATGTGGAAAGTTATGTGGAGTTATCCGAGTTGACATTTTTTTATGGAAAGTTAAAGTGACTATCACTTATAGTACGACTGATTTCCTATTTTAAGTTCAAAAACATTTCATGTCAGATAAGCCAGGTAGTATCGCATTTTGCTATTAGGAAATAACTCAGTTTTGTAAAGGTGAGTAATTAATTCAATGTCATAATTAACGTAGTTCACTTTCTGATTATAGATTTATGTATGCATATTGAAGATAAAATGTCAACATAAAAACTATTGATATTATCAAGATGTTTACTGAAAGTAGGTAGAGCATAGTTTGATCACTTTACATAATTATCAAATTCTGCGTCCAAAAACAACAGTCTGATAGTTCATTGATATTTGGTTCAAAACAAGGCAAAAAAAGCTTGATTTGGTGAGAAAATCACATCATCACTACAATATATAATGGTTGTATAATTTAAAGCTTAGTCAATTATTTTTCTTTTCTGTTATCTTTAATTTATCATAAGCAGTTGTTAATTTTATTGTATGATATGATTGTGTATTTTAAAGGATAGAAATAAAGTACATGAGATTAACATTAGACATTAGTAAATATCTGTAAAAGGAAGATACTTCTTTATTGCTTTATCTAATTATCCATTTCATATGATGTTTCTAACTTCAATTTAAAAAAATGAGTTGATAAGTTAAACAAAAAAGTACTTTATAGAAAACATAACAAACTTGAATTGTTGTAGCTGTCTATTTTTCTAAATGAAATCTAAGATGATGATAATCATACTGCTGAATAAACATAAATTATGAATTTAAGTATGAAAAAAAAGAATACTGTCAACTTTAAGTATAGAATAAATATGAAGAAAATCATGCAATCAGACCATTTTATCATTGATACAAGAAATGTATTCATTTGTTTGTTTCATTGGTAAATTAGATTTTTTTTAAAAGATAAGTAATGTAAACTTCACATTGACGACTATTATTTATTTTTATTCATACGATAAATCAACATTTCACTGGTAGGCAACCAGAATGTTTCAGGCGTTGTTGCTCCAAACAGATGAACTTAAAACTTAAAATTTACTTACAACACTGGTTAAGTGACCGTGGATAAGGACGTTAACACTTGTTTTTTTTCCGTGTTCAAAGTTTCTTAAATATACACACCTAAGTGTTTCAGAATAGAACAAGACAGCTATTTTAAGTTTTCCCATTTTGGGTGAAACTAAGACATCACTAAGATGAAATTCATCATAAGATCATTAAACGATAACAGTGTGGTAAGTTTCTCAAAGTGCTGGTGCAATGTTTTAGCCAGTGAGGTTAACATAACTGTAAATAAACTAGTAGATCGATAGTAACGTTGACTGAGATTAACTTTATATGACACCGTCACTGGTTTCGGAGTTAGCTAGATGCTGGTGAAATATGAACTATGCCTTTAATTCTAAATTAATTTTGCTGATTTATTCATATGTTCCAAACACTGACAATGATATATTGTAGGAGCAATTGTTATTTATTAACAAGAAAATTAAATTCAAACATTTTGAAGTATAAAATGTTATATAACAATGTCATTATATTACTAGACATTTGAAATAATGATATAACAGCTAAGTGAGTTTATGACCACGTTGATAGTGTAAATAATACCACCTGTAAAAAAATTACTTTGTGATCGAGAAATAAAAAAAGAAACCGAATCAATTTACAAATAACATTTTGATTAATTATAGTACAGTGTTCTCATCATTTTTTTGAAACAGACATTTAAAAAAAGCAACAAATTCTCAGGCAATATCCTCCTCCGTCAGAAATAAACATTAGAAAGAGCAAGAAGCAAAGCAAATAAACTACTGTTTTCTTAGTTTTTCCTTTTTTCTCTCTATTATTTACTTATCTATTTGATGTAACGTTGGTACTAAGACGAATAAAAATGAAATAAATAATTTGAAGTAAATTGTGAGTGGGATAAATAAATCTTGTACTAATTATCTACCGATTTTACTGGTATATCCATTTTGTAAATATGGAAAACAAACTAATAACACCAAATATTTAGTTTGATATGAACAAGTAACTGGAAGATATTTAGGATCACGTTCATATAGTGCATAATATGAAGGTATTCCCAGAACAAATTTAGGTCATAGTTGTACTAGTAAAATTTTATAACCGATATTGTTCACATACAGTATTAGTTCATAATATTTGTACAACTACTAAATAAATAATAAATGTGAGCAGGAAGACGGCTTTTCAAAAATTTCATGCAGTTAGTTCCCTTTATGAATTTAAATAAAGCAAGAACAAATATTGATGCAGAATAGTATGAATTCATAATATTTCGAGGTTTCTCGTCAGCTGCTTACAACCAAATATGTGATAAGCTTTTTACATTGAGATAGTGTAAAACAATTGGCATAAATGAATGTACATGATTAGAATGACAAAAATTTACAATAATAACTATATATATATGATAGAACAGGTCAGAGGTTAATTGGTGTTAGAATTAAGGAGACAATTAAAGATGGGAGATGTAATAGTTGAATGGAGTTTATAAATTGTGTGATAATTATTTTAGAGGTATTAGAACAGTGATAAGATAGGTTACGTAATGATTGAATAAAATTTGAACAGTTAAGATAATCTAACAGTATCAGTGAGGCGGAAATATGTGGATAAAAATTGGTTTAAGAATTAAGTTACGAGGGGGGGGGGTGTGGAGGATAACACAAAATAAATTTTTTAAAATAAATAAGTGAATCAAATAACACAAAAAAAAAAAAAGGATTACCAGGGTAATAATAAGTTAATTAGTGTCTCTTTTTGAATGCATAAATCCGGTTTAAGTTTTTTTATTGCAATCGCTTCCGCAAAGCGGAGAGTAGTAGTACTTCTTTGTCTGTTGATAATTTTAAAAGCGTGCGAAATATCGATGGTATGCCCGGTGTCAAGTAAATGCCGAGCTATTGCACTGTTAAGAGCCTTAGTCCCTCGCAGCCTCAAGTTCTTTGGAATATGCTCTGAAATGCGAACATGAACTCTTCTCTCAGTTCTTCCAATGTATGTGCTTTGGCACGTACATGTGAATTGGTAAATGCAGTTGGAGCTACTAATAAAAGAGGACTTGTCGATTCTAGTTTGTTTAAGTGAGCAATTCGTTTTCCATACTGTTGTTAGTTTTGCTGCTGGGTAGGCAACTTTCAACGCTGAATTTAGTCTGTGATTAATTAAGCCAGCAATTTCATCTCCTTTGAAACGTAGATATAAGAAGCAAGGTTTCTTTTCAACTCTATCGTACTTTGTTTGAGGGTTGGTTTTTGCATGTTTGTGAATAAATTTCAATGGGTATGCATTTTCTCGTAGAACATTAGTGATGAGAGTAATTTCATCATCCAGGCATTCCTTTGAACAAATTTTGCGAGCGCGGTCAAAAAGGGTTCGTATCAAACCCTTTTTATAACTCACTGGACAAAAACTGTAGTAATTGAGATATAGTCCACTCCAAGTATTTTTATAATGAATGTGTCTGTTTAATGTGCCATCAGATGTTCGTCTGATCCCAATATCAAGAAAATGGAATTTACCTTCAACTTCCTTTTCCATAGTAAATTCTATATTGTTATGTGCTTTATTGAACAGATCAAGTAGTCTAATGGCGTGCTTATGATTGTTACAGACGAGAAATGTGTCATCGATGTATCTACAGTAGAATGTAGTATCGTCAATTGCGTGCTTAAGCTTATTTAGTTCCAGGTATCCCATAAATATATCAGCAAGAATTGGGCCCAACGGGCTACCCATAGCAACTCCATCAATTTGGCGGTAAAAGACATTATTAAATTGAAATTGTATGTTTTTGGTACATAAAAAAAGGAGCTGTTTAAAATCCTGGGCTGGTAGAGGTAGAAGTTCAGGATATTTACATATGTTTTACAGCATCTCAATGTAAAAAGCTTATCACATATTTGGTTGTAAGCAGCTGACGAGAAACCTCGAAATATTATGAATTCATACTATTCTGCATCAATATTTGTTCTTGCTTTATTTAAATAATAAATGATTATCACACCAGTCTTAATGTAGATGACAACTTTTATTTTCAAAAAAAAGGAAAAAAAATGTTCGTAAATAACAGGAATCAGGCAACATTGAAAAATTTGAGATGGTGAAGATTCGTAGCTCAGGTGGATGGTTTTGATGGAGTTTTGTTTATTTAACCTACATCTTTTCATTTTTTTTAGTTAAGATGTCTAATACTTATTTTATTATATTAACTCTAAATATTAAACACTATAGAATGGACAATAAATGTTAGCATTACTTATTGTTCTTAACGATACGTCGAAATGGAACATTTGTTATGCATAGAAAATGATTATGAAAATCAGTTATTTTTAAAACATACAATACAAAATCTTCTTATTCATTCATGGAGTTATCAATAGTGAAAAGAAGTCAATGTGAATACTGTGGTTACACACCACACAGAACCAAATCGACCATATCTCAATCAACAAAAAGTTCAGGAGGACGATGGAGGACGTGAGAACCAAGAGAGGAGCAAATATAGCATCAGATCATCACTTGGTGGTTGCCAAGATGAAATTGAAACTCAAGAGGCACTGGACAACGGGGAGGACAATATTACAAAAATTTAATACGGCTCTTCTTCGGGATAATGACAAACTCAATAAATTCAAGATAACCCTCAGCAATAAGTTCCAGGCCTTTCATGATCTACTCAACGGAGAAGCAACTACTATGGAGAGCAACTAGAGAGATAAAAGAGGCAATCACTTCAACATGTCATGAGGTTCTGAGCCAAAAGAAGCACCATCACAAGGATTGGATCACGGCCGATACACTGGATAAGATTCAAGAAAGGAGGAACAAGAAGGC